CATGGAAGATAGCTGACATGTTCAAAATATCCAAATCAATAAAATTATTGCTGAAAATTAAAAAATATCTTTTATTTACAGAAAACAACTAAACAGACTTTTTGGCCAACCCATTGTCTTGCAGTTGCTTATCCTGGCATGTGAGGCTGTAAGTCCTTCCCTTCTGACCCCTCACTCCAAATTACACCAGAGCTTCTTCCTTTTTGACTCTTTTTATCTGTAGGGCTTCTGGATAAGAGTTACGTTGTTTCCTTCCAACTGCTGCTGCTGGTGGTGGTGTGGTGGTGGTGGGGTGAGGATTAATCAACTGAAAAAGTGCAACAGCAGTTGAAAAAAAGGGGGACATTATTTCCAGTTGTGTACAGTATGAGATGGCAACATTTGAACAGGGTTTTCCAAAGATAGAAATGTAGAAAGGGGGTTTCCAACAGAAGGGCAAAGAAGTAGATGTTTGGAGGTGGAAAATTAATGTATATAATTTGGCTTTGAAATAGTGGTTTCAAATGCAGGTGTTTTGGGGTCCAGTCATGGAAGACTTTAAGCCAAATGACAAGTTGAGACTTTATGCTTAGATAAGGTGAGGCATGGATTTTTTTTGTTTGTTTGTTCGATATGTGTGAGTTTTCCTTTAAATAGGCAGTTTGGGAAAAATTAACCGAGCAGAATTAATATGAAAGGATAGAGAGAGAGAGAGAGAGAGAGAGAGAGAGACAGAGTCAATGAAGCTAATTAGCAAATTATTGAAGTAGCTTAGGTGAGGACTATTGGCCTGAAATAAGTTGTTATTAGAAAAGAAGTGGAGAGTGATACAGGAATAACAAGGGAGTTTTGGCAACTAGTTTGATAATGGAGTGTTGGGAGTAAGAAGAAACCAGAAGTTGTGATTTTTCACTTGGCATGTCTGACGTATGACAGATGGCAGAATTCACGTTGGATACCCTTGATTTAGGAGTATGGAGGACCAGAATGAGGGAATTGAGATGGATGTAGGGCATGAGGACTTGGAAAAGGTGAGAATAGTAATGGCTTTGGAGAATTCTGTAAGAGAGAATTAAGACCATTGATTAACAAAGGGAACCAAAGTCAACATGACTTAATAGTGGAACCATTCTGCCAGGTACAGTTATAAAAATAATTGACGAAGAGAACTGAGTTTCCTTTTTTAGAGTAAGAAAAATTATAAATGGTTATGTGAATTATTTTGAGTCTCTCATATTTCTGCGAACAAATAACTAAAAGTTCACCAGTAGTTTGGTAGCAACATTGTTTATAACTTGCTTTAGGTTGGTGCTCTGAAGTTCCTTACTGACATTTTTGGTCTTTGTTGGAGAAAATAAAGTAATACAGTGGTGCTTTGCTAGATACTGGTTTTAGACGTTAGATCTCTAGGATAAATATTTTTGTATCGTGATAATCTACAGAAGTGAAATTTTATTTGAAAAGTTTTAATCTATTTTATACAGTTTAAGCAGGAACACATAAATGTAAGTTGATCTCAGAATGACTAGATTTAGTGTGGCTTCATTATCATATTCATGAACATAATGATGCTCTTTGCTACTATTGCGGTTCTCTTTTCACTCACCTGTTATGATGAGGATACAATTTAGAATTTTTTTGAACTTTCGTCTGTCTCTTTTGTATTTTTCTTTATATAATATTCTCCATATATAAGCACATTTTTTATTTGAAGAAACTTTGTTGGAGATGAGTTTTATATTTAGAGTAGCTTCACTATTAAGGAATGAATGAGAACTTGATGCTCCTGAAAATCAGTATAGACTATAATATTTACATACCCTATTTGGTATAAATTGAACTTCCTTTTTTCCAAAATGGTATCTTTAATACTCTTAGGAAGTTTTTGAATGTATGTTGGAGGGTGGGGCGAGTGATTTTAAAAACATTGAGAGAAAATTCTTTTGACACTTAAAAGTCAAGGTGCTACTTAGATAAAATACATGGGATCTTTGAAAGCGCAGATTTTTGAAATTTAAAGCTAGTCATGGGTATAATTTTCACTGACAAATGTGAACAAAGCCATATTTGGGGGCAAAGTCCTAGATAGTTTAGAATTGATAGTTATGTTTAGTTTAGAATTGGTAGTTATGTTTTAGGCATCTGTTATTGGTTATTTCTAGTTCTGACTTTTAAAATATGGTAAATTATTATTTTTTTTTGCCAGCACATGTCTGGAGGCCTGCACACTGAAGTCAACACAGATGTCATTAGTTAAACGATTAATCACAATACTCCCAGTTCATTTAGTGTTTAAGATAAAAACATACACTTTATAAAGTCATCCACACATTGAAGAAATGCATTAGATATGAATTGGGTATACTTGTTTGATTTATTATTTTGCCCTTTAAAAAAGGTATTTCTGGGTTTAAGTCTTTAAAACTGAGTGATTAAATGAAATTGAGTGGTTATCAGTGTATATTATAATTGCAAATTAATGCACAATTTAGTCAGAGATACATTGCAGGAGATACCAGCCAAACCCTAGAGATTACAATAGTCATAGCTTGTTTATGTTACATATTTACTTAGTAGAGTTGACATATATTATAATTTACATATATTTTAACATATGTTCAGTATGGAGAATTTGTAAGTGTTGGAAATAATATATGGGGCCATTATACTCTTATCATTTAAACTTTTTACATAATATAGTTTAGAACATTTCTAATTAATAAAGAAAATGTTTTAAAGTTTCTACCTAAAATAGATTATAGAGTCTGGTTTGTCAATGTGAACACTTGGTTTCTTAATGATACCCTTATTAAATAATTTAAAATACTTAGGTTGTAATTCAAATGGTTAATTATTGTCTTGGATATTTCATCTATGGTGATTGGAAGGATAACATGGCATAGGGACTTCGGATAAGAAATTAAGGTTAAAGAGTATATTCACATTTTATGTGATGATTAATGAAGAATTTAACCAACTCCTCCACTTTTGTATCTTTGTATACTCAAAAGTGTCATAATTATAAAGTACTTTATAATAATACCAAGGAAATAATAGAGCTATTACCAAGACTTTTTATATATATATTCTTCTCAAAATTTTGCTCACAATGGTGTTTTCCCCCCTTTCATGAGGTTTAAATGTTCTTAGCCATGTTTCTAATAGGCGACTACTAAGATGAAGCTAATAGCTAGAACATACTCAAGAGAGTATGTAAGTCTGATTACTGATTTGGAGAGAAGAGGATCAAACAAAAATTTACAAGGTCTGATTTAGAGTTGCATGTTTCACAGCTATTTGTTGTGCATATGCTAGGTACTATTTGAATTTAAGAACACAAAGATAAAATATAGTTGTTACTTTTGAGCTCAGACACTAGTAGTGAACATAGAAATAAGCTGATAATAACGATTGTACAGTATGTAAGTGTTGTGATAGAGCTGTACACAAAAGAGGGGACCTAATCTCTGAAGGTGAGGAGTAGAAGGGAATGGGGAAGGCTTCTGGAGGTAATCTCCAAACTGATTTCTTAAAAATTATTTTGAAACTTTCAACCCTATAGGAAAGTTTAAAACAGAACAGGTTGGGTGAAAGAAAGGGTCAGATGATGCACACTTCAGTTATAACATAAATAAGTCATGAGAATATAATACACAGCATGGCGACTATCATTAGTAATGCTGTACTGTGTATTTGAAAGTTTCTGAGAGAGCGGATCATAAAAGTTTTCATCACAAGAAAAAAAAGTAACTATAATAATTATGTTAACTAGGTTTATCATGGCGATCACTTTGCAATATACACAAATACCAAATCATTGTGTTGTACACCTAAAACTAATATAATACTATATGTTAATTACCTCAGCTTTAAGAGGGCAACAAACACCTAAGTTTCATCAGTTGTTAATATTTTGTCATGTTTATTTCTATCATATATGCCATATGCAATATATACCAAATATATAGAGAGAACCATTTGTAAGTAAACTATCAACAAAACACTTGACTCAGATATTTCAGCGTGCATGCCTTGAATAAAGACATTTTCAAACAATTTTACTATCAAGTTTAAAAAAATATTTGGTTGAGGTGGTGAAAGACAAATACCATATGATCTTACCTTTAACAGGAACCTAATCAATAAAACAAACAAACAAGCAAAATATAACCTAAGACACTGAAATAGAGAACAGGCTGAGAGTGACCAGAGGGGAAAGGGGAAGGGTTTGCAGGAACAAGTATAAAGGACACATGGAAACAAGGAGGGGTGGTGGAAACAGGAGGGGGGTGGGCTTCGAGTAAAAGGCAGAAAACTGTACTTGAACAACAATTAAAATTTAAAAAATAATTATAAAAAATATTTGGTCGACTTTTAAAATTTTTTCCTTGTTTTTGAAAAAAAAATTGATTCTGGACAGAAAGGAAGGGAGGGAAAAAGAAAGGGAGAGACACGTTGATGTGAGGGAGAAACATCCATCATTTGCTTCTTTTACATGCCAGGACTGGGGACTGAACCTGCAACCCAGGCCTGTGCTGTACTGGGAATCAAGCCCATGACCTTTTGCTTTCAGGATGATGCCCACACCGAGCAGGGCTGGTCTTCTTTTTATTATCTGTTTATGAGTTACCTTTTTTATGTTTAGCAATTCTAAATTTCAGGCTGGTATGTTCCTGCTACTCAACTTGCCTTTGTGTTATTAGTGCTGTGTTTTGAAAGATTGTGAAATAGACCTTATAAAAATTAGCTCAAGTAAAATTAGGGAAGTAAATATCCTCCTGAAATTATAAGAAATTTTCATGGCCAATAGAATTTTTTATATTAACTTCTGCAAATTTAAGAATTGAGAACATACGTGACAGCATAAATTGAGATTCAAAGTGTACGATTATCATTTATCATATATTTGGTATTAGATATTTTGAATTCTGAGAGTCTTCAGTGGCAAACTTTCTGAAGTTTTTGTGTTTATAGAAATAATATATGAGAACTATTTAGACAGCACCTGTTTCTCTTTTCAGACTGGACTGGTTTAGATGAAGATGAAGATGCACATGTCTGGGAGGATAATTGGGATGATGACAATGTAGAGGATGACTTCTCCAATCAGTTACGGTAAGCTTTAAGCCAGATTTTTATATAATTTAGTATTAATTATAAGCACAGAATATGTCATCTACATATGATAATTGGGCTCTTAAAAGATAATTAGTCTTTGAAATATGTTTTTGGATTGTGAAAAGTAAGACATACTGCCTTCATCTCCTGTGTTTCTAAATATGAATAATTTGTGTAATTGCCTAGAACTTTTGTTCTTTCTAGGCTCTTTACAGAAGTAGTTAAGTGGAAGCATATTTGCTGTTTTTTATCCTGTGAGTTTTTCTGTTGAAGTTAATTTTCTGTCAATACTAAATAACTCAGCAAAAATTAGAATTGTAAGTGTTAGGACCCAATAGATTGGTTTTCTCAACCTGGAATGGGGAGATGGGGGTGATAGGAGTGTATTTTTCACATTCATGTACATATCTACCTAATATGATTGATTTGCCAAAGTAAAATTCATATAATATAAAATTAACCATTTTAAAGTGTACAGTTAGTTTAGTGGCATTTTATATATTCCCAGTGTCGTGCAACCATTATCTCTTTTTAATTCCGAAACATTTCCAGCACCCCAAAAGGAAACACTGTTCCCAGTAAGCAGTCTGAATTCCTCTTTTTTGGCCAGCTCCTGGCCAACCACTAATTTGCTTTCTGTCTGTAGATTTGCCTGTTCTAGATATTTCGTATGAATGAATCATACAATAAGCAATCTTGTGTGGCTAGCTTCCTTCACTTAGCATGACATTTTCAAGTTTTATCCAGGTTGTAGCATGGATCAGTGCTTCATTTTTATGCATGAATAATACTCCATTGTATGGGTATGACACATTTTGTTTATCCATTTATCAGTTGAGGGACATTTGAGTTGTTTCCAGCTTATGACTTTTTTAAATTAATTTTTTAAAGAGAGGGGAAAGGAGAGAGAAAGAGGGGGAAAGGAGAGAGAAAGAGAGGGAGAGAAACATCAATCGGTTGCCTGTCATACATGCTCTGGTAGCAAACTGAACCTGCAACCTAGGCATTATGCCCTGACCTGGAGTGGAACCAGTGACCTTCCACTCTGTGGGACAACACCCAGCCAATTGAGCCACTCCCCTCAGGGCCCAGCTTGTGACTGTTGCGAACAGTGCTGCTATGAACATTCATGTGCAAGTTTTTGTTTGAATACCTGTTTTCAATTTGGGGGGATGTAATTGTAGCGGTAGAATTGCTGGGTCATGTCATAAAACTTTTTTGAGGAACTGCCAAACTGTTTTCCAGAGCAGCTGTACAATTTTACATTACTACCAGCAATGTGTGATGTTTCTAATCTCTTTTATGTTCTCACCAAACCTCGTTAGCTTTCATTTTTTTATTATAATCATCCTAGTCAGTGTAAGTTGGTGTCTCATTGTGGTTTCAAGTTTACATTTACCTAATGATGAGCTCTTATATTTGTTGGTCATTTGGGTATCTTGGAACAGTATCTATTCAAGTCCTTTGCCTATTTTTAACTTGGGTTGTTTGTCTTTTGTCTTTTTGTTGTTGAGTTGTACATGTTCTTTATATATTCTGGGTACTGGGTCCTTATCAGATATATATTTAGAAATATTTCCTCCCATTCCATTAGGTTGTCTTGCCACTTTCTTCATAGTGTTCTTTGCACAAAAGTTTTTAATTCTGGTGAAGTCCAGTTTACCTATTTTTAAAGAATTTTCAACAAATTCAAGGTTATGAAAATTCATCTCTGTTCTGTTTTAGAATTTTAGCTCTTACATTTAGATCTTCTATCCTTTTTGACTTAAGTTTTGTATATGTTGTGAAAGTAAGGTCCCGCTTTACTCTTTGCATGTAAATATTCAGTCGCACCAGCACCATTCGTTGTAAAGACAGTACTTTCCTCCTTGATTTTATTTTGATTCAACCCATACATATCTGTCTTCACAACGATACCTAAGTAGACTGTCACATACTTTGCTCAAATCAAGATAGGAAGTTCTCTTGCGGTCCTCTACTTTTCTAGTCTACTAGTGCATTTCTTCAAAAAGGAAATGAGATGATTTATAACAAAGTTTTAGAATTTTTAAAAATCATGTTATAGCTTCTGTTCTATACTGCATTTTTTTTATAGGCTCAAAAATCATACATTCTAAAGACTTGACCATTTTGGAGACTAATGACAATTTTAGTATTCTGGAAACTAATAACAATTTTACCCATCTTCTTTCTCCCCTTTTTGGAAATACACAATTTACCTTTCACTGTTAATTCTGGTACTTTTATAATTTCCATGATTTCTCAAAATTTCAGACTCTTACTTTTGACTGTATCTGTTCATTCTTTCAGTACCCAAGATATAATTATTCAGAGCCTCTAGACTTTAAACTACGTTAATGCACTATGGAGTTACGTCACCTGTCTTAGTTTTCAATTTTGTTTTAACGATGTTGTTTTTCATTTGTGATTTTGTGGACAAGATAGGAACAACAGCTATTGATTTATTTTGCCTACATATAGTTAATGCAGAATAATTCTTTTTTTTTTAATTTTTAATTTATTTTTAGTTTTATAGAGGGGGAAGGGAAGGAGAGAGGGAGAGAAACATTAGTGTGTGGTTGTGTCTCACACATCCCCTACTGGGGATCTGGTCCACAACCTGGGCATGTGCCCTGACTGGGAATCGAACCAGCAATCTTTTGGTTTGCAGGCCTGCACTCAATCCACTGAACTATACCAGTCAGGGCCAGAATAATTCTTATAAAACTTTAAATTTGGTTTATAATTTCTGTCTTAATTAGCTCAATAGATAAGTATAAATAGAGAAAGCAATTTGTTTATTCTTTTTTAAAAAATTTATTTATTGATTTTAGAGAGAGAGAAAGGGACAGAGGGAAAAACATTGATTTTTTTCTGCTTGTTCATACATTCATTGGTTGATTCTTGTCATCGTCCTGACCAGGGATCGAACCTGCAACCTTGGCATATGGGGACGATGCTCTGTCCAGCTGAGCTGCCTGGCTAGGGCCTGTTTATTCTTTATGTGTAAATAATAGTAATTCCTATTGTGATAATTATGAAATTCCAAAAAGTTTGTTACTACTGCTTTGTGTTTTTAACCATGTGATTAATGATTCTTAAAATTTGTTTAAATATTTGTTTATTCTTGTTTTAACATTTTTTATTTTAATTGTTGTTCAAGTACAGTTTTCTGTCTGTTTAAATATTTATTAGCAAAACTTTTGTATGCTATTTGGATGGTATTTGAAAGATAGCAGTAAATTTCTTGCATTTCTTCCATAGATTTATCAGAAAATTAAGGAATATGAAATATGCTTACTAATGAGAAATTAAAATTTTATTGTCATTATGTTGATTCACATCCAATTTCTATTTTATATAGGTTTCTCTTTAAGGACTAGTGTAAAGCTATTTGATAGTATTTTAAATTGGTGCCTAGATTTAGCTCATTGTTTCTTTTAATTTATCATAAAAAATGTCTAGTAATGTTGTATTTTTGTGTTTTATTGTAGAGCTGAACTAGAGAAACATGGTTATAAGATGGAGACCTCATAGTAGCCAGAAGAAATGTTGAAACAACCTAAACTTGAACTGTTACTAAATTCTAAGACAGAATCCAGGATGGGACTCTTTAAAAATACTTGTTTCATTACCTGCTTGGCTTTACTCTTGCTTTTGTAACACAAAAAAATAAATGTTTTGATCTAATTTTGGTTTGGTTCAGAAGTCTTCATTTTTGCCTCTGATAATTAATTTTCTCATATTGTTCGTGATTTTCCAGGACTTATTTATATAGGGACAGTAAAATTTCCTATTATGATTTTTTTAATGTTAACTGAGTCTCAGAGAGGTTAAATGATTTGAGGCTGAAATTCATATGATTCCCCACTTCAGTACTTTCTTAAACCACATCAATTAAATATTGGTCTTATTTATAAGGTTCTTTTAAATTACATTTAAACTTAAACTGTTTTTTGAAAGCTTGGGCAAACATGGACATTTTAAAGATGACTTCAAAACTTGTGTTTTCGATAATTAATATTTTAAAATACAGGTTTTAAAGGGTAGTATATTAATCATTTTAAATTGCTAATTAGTTACTGAGTAACTGTATTAATAGTACTAGTTGATACTGTATTATTATTTAAAATCCAGAGGGATTTGGTTGCAGTTTTATGAAAGGTGTCCTCTATGAAAACTGGGGAAGTAGGCTCAAGATAATTTGTTACCATGTGCACATTCTTCAGTACTGCATAACATTCTTTTAGTACTGTTGCCACATCCACTTTTTGAGTGGGAGATATAATTTGTTAAATGCTTCTTTCTGGTAAGACTTAGAATGAGGCTTATTGTACAGTTTTTATTAACAAAAATTTTTAAACTTGAATGTGTTACTTGTTTGGAAATAGAATCACTGGTACTGTTGAGTAATTTAAAAGGTAAAATTTATTTAACATGATGTAGTATTGATACCAAAACAGGAGTTGGGCACCTGAAATATAATTTGTTGTGCCTTGAAATGATTTTGAACATAAATAAGTTTTCTCCTCCTGAGATAAGCATAAATCCGCCTTGTCTACCTGACAGAATTACTAGATGATCAGATGGAATAATAAGAAAGAACTTTGAGAAAGTGTAAAAGGACCTCATATTTTTGTCAGCATATAGTAAAGCACAGGTAGACATGTTGATACAGCATGTAAAGAAATATTTTGATGTATAAGTTCTCAATATTCTGGTCAGTGGGTATAAGGTCATCTTTAGACCCCACATCATGGGTCACCTTGACTGTGTCAGATGAGTACCCAGAGAGATGGCCACTTCATGTGACTTAAATTGGTGAGATACAATTTTGAAACCTCATAGGAATTGGGCTGGGGCTTTAATGGGTTATCTTTATGCAAGGCCAGCGTTTTGTCCTTAAAGAAATTTTAGATGGTTTTCTCTGTTAATGATTGAGTACCCAAAAATGGTATCTGGTATCAGGATGATGAAACACATCAGTGGTAGAAAGTGAGACTAGTCAGGCAGCTGTCTTTACAGGATTATGCAGTTAATAGATTTCTTTAACTTTTGATCTTCACAATGACCCTGTTAAGCAGGCAGAAAAGACATGTCTAATATTTCATCAAACAGAAAATTGAATCTCAGAGACACTAAGTTAGAAAGTGAAAAGGGTCCAAGGTTGCATAGCTAACAGGTGTCAGATACAGATTTGAATCCAGGTTTTTTTTCCCTTGTAATTTTCCGTAATCAATTCCATTTGAAATAGTTTTGAATTCAAATGGTGGATGTAATAGTGTTCAGCGTTTTTCATCAGGCCTTGGACTGGAATTGTTGCCATTGGATGTCATGTCCTTTCATCCTGTTCCCACTAAATGTTTAACTTAGAGGACTGTGATAATGAGCCAACTCTCTTACGAAAGTTTGGTGTATTAATAATGCCTTTTTATGGCATGTCATGATCTATCCTGTATTTTTAAAAAATATTCATATCCTTTCTGTCCCACACTTACCAAGTTGAAAGAGCGAACATCTACCCTTTTGGCTGAGAGTTCACACTTTGTACTGCTTGTTCTACCCAACAGGATGCTGGGGAATTGTACTTGAGTTTCCTAGCTACCTTAATGGCTCCTATTATTAATGCTTTGGGTCTAATTCTTGCTCTATCCATGATTCTCTTTATTTAGTCTCTGATGCTTTTTTAAAAAATCCTATTACTACCTTAGGTATAGAAATGTGTATTTATTTCACTCTCTATTCTCAGTCTTGGCCTCTCCCTGAAACCTCATCCTCCTGTATCTAACAACTCCCATTACCTTTCCAGGGTCTAATGGCTGTATTAAAGTTAACTTGCAAACAGAAGCCTTGATTATTCTCAAACCTGATCTTTTCTCCAGTCTTCCCCATCTCAGCAAATGCCTCACCTCCTTAATTGCCGAAGCTACCAATTTTAAGAACTGTTCTTGGATCCTCTTCTCTCAGTATTCATTCCACTGGCAAGCACCATCAACTCTACCTCCAGAGCATGTGGCTGATAATACTGCTTGTCTAACCTAGCATTCACTCCCTTCCTGTTTTCTAACAAATACTCCACCCCACTCAGATAGCCATTCTTTCACATTGGTCATATGACTGAAGGCAAGCCAACTCCTTTCCCACGTTAGGGTATGCTCTGCTTGATCTTACCAATCAATTCCATTTCCCATACAAATGAATGGATAAGGAATGGACGACTTAAAAGTGTCGGTCAATGAAACAATGCGTTAGAGACATCTGGCAAATAGCCATATGAAGCAAGCCTCTGCACGTGAGTGAAGTGTCTAGTCTCGATTGCCACTGGCAACCATCTAATAACCATTTCAGTTTGAGGGGTAAGATGATTAGAAAGTCTGGAAGAACATGGTTCTTTTGATGACATCATTAAGCCTGATCTATCACTACTGGGATTCCTATAATTCTACAAATTTCCTTATTTAAGACACCTTAGGTTGGGTATTTGGTTACGTGTACCCAGAAACATTTTACTTAACATATCTAGAATCTGTCTACTCCCACTGATTATTACCGAGTCTAAACCACCATCATCATTCTCTAGGATTTCCTGCAGTGATCACCTAACTGGTCTCCCTATGTCTACTTTTTCTGGCTTACAATCTATTCTGGAAAAAAGGAAAGGGATCTTAAAATTTAGATCAAGTCAGCCCTTAATGGCCATCAGGGGCTTCTTAAAGCAGTATAAAATCTGAATTGCTTATCGAAGCCCAACATCATCTTGTCTTCTGCCTAACCCAGTTTGCATCACTGGATTTCCAATGATGTATTTTGTCAATTCTGGAGAGTAAATCCTTGGCTTCTGCCTATCCCAACTTAATATCACTTGATTTTTCAAGAATGTCATATTTTGTCACTTCTGGAGAGTAAATCAAAGGTAAATTACCTAAGCAGAAAGTGATCACACTCAGTTGCTTGAACATGCCATGAGCTTTGCACAAGTAGTTCCCTGGAATGCTTACCCTCCTCAAACTCACAAGTCAGGCCTCGGCTGATGACTCGGTCTAAGGTGTCCATTCAGTTGCTTCACAACATGTTAGCTTCTAAAACCTGCTCTCCAAAAATACTGGGTTTTTAAAAATTAATGTTGCACTGCAAATGATCACCTCTCTGCATATCAGAAACTAATCGTGACTGATGGCCAGAATATTGATTTGGTTTTGCGCTCTCTATATAGTTGCCTTGGGAATCGATGGACTGTCAGAAGGTTAATGTAAGGGTACGATTAACTTTACAGGAGCTACAGTTTGAATTTACGGGACAAATAGTATCATTACTTTGTTATTCTGGTTTTCCTTTTGTTCCATAGCTGTCATGATTTAATAAAGATTATACTCCTACCCTCTCTGTACACTTTGGCTACAGTCTATTATCCAGAAAGTATCAGAACAATATCAGTGATGGCAACAAGGTAGGATGACAGAAGGAGACTATTAGAGACAGTCTTGCAGCTTTTTACCACTGAAGGTAGCATTTAGAGTTACAGGAAAGACCATTAGCTAACATTCCAGTGGTGCACAGAACTGTTTAAAGCTCCATTGTTATCTTCACCTGGGCCAGGGTGCCTTTATTTACAATATAATACTGTATATTTTTCTTTTTGGTTATTGGTTAGTTTAGTTTGTCTTTTTAATGGTTTCTTGTTTTAGATTGTGAATTCTTTGACGATAAAACCCCTATTGTATTCATTTCCATACCCCTTCTCTTAGGGTTCCCTCAGCAGCCCTAGAGATAAAGATTTGAGTGTGAGTAGTTTATTACAGATGAGGTAGGGGAGTAGGGAAGTGAGGCAAATACAGGGAAGCTAGTAAAGGGTATACGAGGTCTGTCCAGAAGGTATCCAGCCATGTAATATGAAAAATAGAGACATTTATTGAAGAAGATACAAGACACAAGAAACACTGTATATAAGACAAAGATGCCTCATCCCCTTCAAAGAAGGCACCTTGGGACCTCACACAGTTCTCCCAATTGCCATCAGCTGCCCCATGGTATTTTCCTGAATCTCATTGCCAGTGTGAAATCTCTTCCCTTTCATAGATGATTTTAGTTTTGGGAAAAGCCAGAAGTCACAGGGCACCAAATCTGGTCTGGGCTGTAGGGGGGCTGAGTCACCTGAGTGATTGGATGTTTTGCCAAAAATGGCACAAGACATGATGCATGAGCAGGCATGTTGCCATGATGAAGCTGCCAATCACCAGCTGCCCAGAACTGTCACCTTCTGAATCACCGAAATAGTTTCTTGGAGGAATGTTCAAGCTTAATGCAAAATTTGATGCAGATTCGTTGTTCTACTCAGTCACTTTGAATGCGGGGGCCACACAGTACACATGCTCACTCAACTGCGTCTACTGCCCCCACTAAGTACAGTAAAATTGTTATTGTTCATGCATGTATATTCCAGTCCACTGTCCTTGGCTGCCAGTTTACATCAATGTCATGCAAACAATTCTCATTATATTAACAATGGTTGGACTTTTTCCAGACAGACCTTGTCCATCAAGCAAATTTCCACTGGACAATTAGACCTTAATTTCACCTGGGAACTTTGGGAGACCATGTACAGCATACAGAGTTATCTGAACCAAGGTTCTGGGGGCCATGGTATCCAGCCAATTACTGGTTGAGAGTTTAAGAGAGGGGAAGTGTTAATT